CTCCCTCTAGGCGGAAGGAGACTCGCTATAGGAGTGCCACGCCGCTGCTCACCTTCCTGTCAAGTATCTTACATCCCAGGGACCTTTCTAAAACTGAGCAGGGAGCCAGCGGGACCTCTGCTCTCGGGGAAAGGAAGAAAAACCGCGGCTGGCAGAGGAGGGTGGAGTTGGGAGAGATCTGCGTTCCCCTCCCGCTAAGCCTCCCGCGGGGAGCGCCTGGTGCTTCTCCGGGTTGGGGCGGCCCGGGTCTCGTGGCTCCTGGTCTGAAGGTCTCCTGGCACTCCAGCCGGCTTTCCTCACCGACCAGTCAGTTCTTCCCAGCAGAACAGTGTCATGCGATTTACTTCATCTTTCTTGGTCTCGTTATTCTCATCTTACAAGTAGTGTATCTGGTAGTGGTCCCTTATCATTTTACAGGAATTCGTGAAATGACAACAGCCTTCTGAGGTAGATAGTGCTATTATTATCTTTTTAGGGGAAGAGATGACAAAGAATGAAGTTTCATCCCATTTATACAGTCAAGCGGTTACAAGCTTTTTATACCATTATATTTTTCAACACTGGATACATGCAGTCCAACCACTAGATCTATGCATTCTCAAGATTAACAATAGCTCTTCTTCCTATAAGAGGACTTGACTGCACCATATGCTGCAAATTGTTTGATAAATTTATGCTAAAATTTACTTGGGAATCATGTCTTAGGTAATTGACTTTATCTGAGGGAGTAATGAGATGTATCTTATCGCCCCTGCTAGCAGATCTGCAGTTCAGAGAACAGCACCTTGGTTCAACCCCCACAGTGATAGGGACACTGGATTATTTTCTCATACATTTACATTTAAAGGGGACAAAGCCCTGACCTCTTATTTTATTTTTTAATTGTTTAATTTAAAGCCCAGACCTTTGAAAAGCACTTCTGGATTCTAAACTTGGTAAGAGGCTTATTGAGCCTCTAACAAGATTTACATGTGCATCTAAAGGTCAGAGAAAAGATCCCAAAAGCCCTGGGTTTCCTATGGAAATGCTTTAAGAAAATGCCCTTATCTTTTGGACAAGGAAAATTCCTTTTTTTTTTTTTTCTTTTTCATTTACTCTTGGTAAGCTTGTTTGCCCAAAACTTACAGCTGGTAAGAGGCAAAACTGCCATTTGAACCCAAGGTGTTAGAGCCTCAAGTCTATGTTTTTTTTTTTTAAAGATTTTATTTATTTATTTGACAGGGACAGATTACAAATAGGCAGAGAGGCAGGCAGAGAGAGAGAGAGAGAGGGAAGCAGGCTCTCTGCTGAGCAGAGAGCCCGATGCGGGACTCGATCCCAGGACCTTGAGATCATGACCTGAGCCGAAGGCAGCGGCTTAACCCACTGAGCCACCCAGGTGCCCCTCAAGTCTATGTTTTTAATCTCAATGTTGTACATAAAAAAAAAAAAAACAGGAAACAGTTCTGAATATGTTCTGAGGAAGTTTTTTTTCCCAACAGGTTTAGAAGATCTTTTGGGGCTTTATACTTTATGTTCTTATTATAGTAAAATATATGCCCATTATAGAGAGATTAGGACATACAAAAATATAAAAAGGAAAGAGTAGGAATAACCTGTAATCTCAAGGTTTAGACATAACCACTGTTAACATTTGTAATGTATTTACGCATAGGCGCTGTACTACAAAGGGTATTTCTTTCTTAAATTTTATTATTTTGGAACTTTATTTCAAATAAATAGGAATTTATTCTTATGGATAAACACAAATGTGCACAGAGAAAATAGTGTAATGCACCCCCCATCAGTCATCTGCAGCCCTCATCAACATTTTGATGTTGGATGGAGCCCGATGCCGACATGAGCTCATGATCCTGAGATCAAGCTCTGAACTGAGATCAAGAGCCAGATGCTTCATGGATGTACAATTATTGATAATATTTTAATCATCATAAAGCAGTTACTAAACCATCCACCCCTCATTCATGTTTCCCATCATCTGAGGATAATATTTTTTTTTACAGGTTGGTCGTGAGTCAGGTCGAGTTTCTAGTGCCCTTATGTGTTTTTATCAAGATGTTCCTCATCTTAATCCTATTGTTATCTCCATTTTACAAGTGAAAAAAAGGACAGAGTTCACAGAATAAGTGGCAGGATTAGTATTTTAATCTAGGCAGCCTGATTCCAAGCCTGTAGTCTTTTACACATTGCTTTTATTAGCATACAAGACAAAACCCCACAAGATGTCTTATTGGAGCAAAGAATATTTAAGCTGTGGGGAAGACCGCACCCTGTAAGTGAATGGAGCAGGTGATATGATGAGGCTTTAAAAATTTTTTTAATCTTTGGAAAGATTTATTTATTTGACAGAGAGAGACACACAGCAAGAGAGGGAACACAAGCAGGGGGAGTGGGAGAGGGAGAAGCAGGCTTTGGGGTGAGCAGGGAGCCCATTGCGGGACTCATCCCAGGACCCTGGGATCACAACCTGAGCTGAAAGCAGACCCTTAACTGAGCCACCCAGGTGCCCCTCAAAGAGGCTTTTCATGGGAGTATAAGTTATTCACTACAGCTGGGCATGAATACAAAGTGGATTTGAGGAGGAAAAAAATATGGAAGTTTCCTGTTCGTGTGACTTGCTAAAGCATTTGGAACTTCTTTGAGGGCACTGGATAGAAATGCAGGCGAAAATAACTGAATTTCCATGCTATGCTATATCTCTCTGGCATCAGGGAGGAAAAAAATGATTGAAATTAAATATCTGTTCATGTTGATTATACAAGATGTGACTAATGAGTGATTAGCACTCAGGCTCTGTTTGTCAAATGCCAAAAATTTTTAAAAGAATTTATTCATGTATTTGAGAGACAGATAGATCACAAGTAGGCAGAGAGAGAGGGGGAAGCAGGCTCCCCGTTGAGCAGAGACCCGGATTCAGGGCTCGATCCCAGGACCCTGAGATCATGACTTGAGCTGAAGGCAGAGGCTTTAACCCACTGAGCCACCCAGGTGGCCCTCAAATACCAAATTTTGAAACCTGGCTTTAGCGCTTGCTATTTCAGTAACACGGGCAAATTACTTAACCTTCCTCTGCCTCTGGGTCCTGTAAAGCGAAGGAAATAATAGTATTTACATAAAAAACAAGTTGTGACGAGAATCCCGGAGTCTAAAGTGTTTGGGATAGTCCCTAGCATACACTGAGAACTTCATGAGAGATATATGTGTAAAAGAAGGAATACATGTTTATTATTGACAGTTAGATGGAAACGGAAAGAAGTCTCCATTCTTTTCGCTGCCACAGTTAAGAATTGCAGGACAGAGAAAGGAAAGGAAAGCAGAGCAAAGTTGTATTAAAGTACAATCCAAGAGAGGAGCAGGCCAATCGATAGAGACAATGCACCCCACCCCACCCCCGAAAAACTCCCAGGTGTGGGCTTATATCATTTTTTCCCTTTGGGGCTGGTGCTGGGGTTGCAACATTTGAGAGAAAGTCCTGGATTATATAATAATTAGCCAAGTACACACGTCCTTTTCCAAAATATATTGGAAATGCCTGCACAGGGTAGGAAACTGCATTATTTCTCTTCTGGAGACAGGTCCAACGCGGACAAGAGGTGGCTTTCTGCACAAGTGCAATGAGCACAACAAACCTAACTCTCCCTCTGTCAGGATGTTGTAACCACAAATCAGTTGCTACAGGATGGACTAGGGTGGTCTCTGGGCGGTCCTTGTTTGGGGCTCTCTGTCAGGACGTCTAAGGTCCATCCTCTTGTCACTCATGCCTAGCTTCCTGCCCAACACGTTCAGTAAAGAAGAAATGCAACCATATATTGTAGTAGATGTATGGATATTTTGGGGTATACCTTTCTGCTCCCCATCTTTATATCTTTTAAACATCAGTGCTATCATATGTTTGAGCAAATAATTTTTTACAGTCACCATTTCATAAAAATCTAATTAGCAGTAATGTATTCATCCCTCAAACTCAGAAGTCTCTCTGAGGAATGAAGACAAAAACCCCGGTTGGGAAACTGATCATACAAGTATGCAGAAGTTTGTCTTTTTACTCTATGTCTAGCTGTTCCCAAAGGCCAAGTTTTGAATTATTTGTGCCACTCACAAAAGTTGATGTCTACAATGTATTCTGCCTTCACTGCATTTGGGGGGGGGGGGCTCTCATTCTTTTTTATATCTAAAAAGGGTCTGAGGGGCGCCTGGGTGGCTCAGTGGGTTAAAGCCTCTGCCTCCCGCTCAGGTCATGATACCAGGGTCCTGGGATCGAGCCCTGCATGGGGCTCTCTGCTCAGCGGGGAGCCTGCTTCCTCCTCTTTCTCTGCCTGCCTCTCTGCCTACTTGTGATCTCTGTCTGTCAAATAAATAAAATCTTTAAAGAAAATAAAATAGAAAGGATCTGAAACTGCAAAATAAAGGCTATCATTTTATCCCTTCTTTGTCTAGTAGCAGTGGGTACAATTTCATTAGTGAAGGATCACGTGATCTGCTTCTGTTACAAACTTTCTTTTTTTTTAGGCCTCTGTTCATATATTTGCTAAGTACGTTTTGTTTGTCAATGGAAAAAACTCAACTTCACTGGCATCAGAGAACTGCTTTACGTCTGCAAAATGGTAAGCCATAAAGCGGGTTCTGGAAGTTGAAGTCCTCAAACTACCAAGGAGGAGATTCGCTTGGGGGAAAGAAGGCATGGTTTAAGGGGGCGGACATAGTCCTTCCTCCTCTTGGGGGATCGGGGTAATGTAGTCCTCAACTAACACGGGGCCCCTCAAGCGCTTGCTCCCCCCCCGGGACTTCTGGGAAGTGTAGTTCCGGGGCGCCGTGTAGTCAGAGACACTTCCGCCCCGGAAAAGCAAGACCGCCACCATCTTTTCGGTCCGGAGGTGAGTCAGCCTTGCACCCTCACGCCTCCTCCGAGTGTTTTCCGCCTGAGCTTGGTACTAGTCGCTACCTAGCCGGCCGTTTTAGGATGGAGAAGTCGCGGCCGCCGGCGGAGGCTGAGCGACTGAGGGCAGAAGTTTGGATTCCCTCGGCTCTCCTCCCCCGCTTACCAAGCAGCGCTGCTACTTCTATCGGTACAATACCTGGCGACTTGTTCTCTGCGCTCTCCTTTCCTCCTCCGTCAAGTAGCGACAGAGAGTTACTCTCGGGTCGAGTTGTGATTCGCAGTAAACGAGACAATACGTGTCCAGAGCTTTGAAAGGGGGCGGCACGGGATAATACACGGGATTGATAACAGGAGTTCTGTGCCCATCTCCCTTCTGCCTGGAAGACCCGGTGCAGGGAGCGGGGCCGGGGCTCTGGGAGCAATGGCGCGGCCCCGCTGCCAGCCTCCCGGACACCGAGCTCTTCCCGAGCTTTCCACCTGTCTCCTTCAGGAGCCCCGAGCCTCCCGCGCCCGCGCCCGGGGATGTCCGCTGCAGTTTATCCGCGGGGCAGTCGCCGTCTTGCCGTCCCACCGCGTCCTGCTCTTCGCCGCCCCTGACTTCGGAAAGGGGAGGAAGGACGGACTTCTGGGTGCGTACTAGCGAAAGTACTTTCTTTCTTTTTCTCTCTTTCTTTTTAAAGATTTTATTTATTTATTTTACAGAGACCACAGGTAGGCAGAAAGGTGGCAGAGAGAGGGGAGGAAGGGAAGCAGGCTCGCTGCTGAGCAGAGAGCCCGATGCGGGGTTCGATCCCGCGACCCTGGGACCATGACCCGAGCCGAAGGCAGAGGTTTCAACCCACTGAGCCACCCAGGCGCCCCGCGAAAGTACTTTCTTGATGCGTCCTCTCAGTTTTCCGTGCATCGTGTTTCAGTCACTCGGTCAGTGACTTACTAGGGAAATGTTCCAGTATTTGCTGCATCCACCTGCGGGTGTTCCATCTCCTTGTTAATATGTGTGAATGTGTAGGTGAGTTTTGCTTTTTGTGGTTTGTTTTGTTTTTGTTGTTTTTTTTAACCACACGCACGTGTATTTATTTTGGGAATTTACGACCTTCTACACTTCCTTTTTGCTCTTTCTTGTTTGCAGTTTGGTTTCCTTTTACTTGCTCTCAGCTGGTTTGGAATAAAAACGGCTGCTTGTCTCAGATACTATATGTAGCCGCTGTGTATTCTCGTTCTGAGAAATACAGAAACGAAATCTGTACTTGATATTTGATGATGGCACCTCATCACCACCACCTTTTTTAAACTGGAGGTCAGGTTATCGGTCTGTATTTTGTTACAACGACCCTCGAAATTGGTCCTATCGTTCTTGGGCTTTTTTTTTTTTTAAATATATATATTTTTTCTAATTCATTTGACAGAGATCACAAGTAGGCAGAGAGGCAGGCAGAGAGAGAGAAGGAAGCAGGCTCCCTGCTGAGCAGAGAGCCCAATGTGGGCTCTATCCCAGGACACTGGGATCATGACATGAGCTGAATGCAGAGGCTTTAACCCACTGAGCCACCCAGGCGCCCCCCCCCCTTTTTTTAAATAACAAAAATGTTACCAGCATATTTACAAGTGTTTTCTTACCATTGCTTCTTTCCAGGTTCGTATACTTAATGATTGTTCTTCATCTTTGTTCAGCCGAAATGTCTTTTTTTTCCTCCCTCATGTCAGTTGTCATTTGGTTGAACATAGAATTCAAGTTTGACGATTATTTCCATTCTTCCTTTTGGAGATAGCATTCAGTCCTTTGAGGTCTCCATTCTGTTTCCTTGATTCTGTCAATCAAATTGTCATTTTGTTAGGTAAACTGTATATTTTTTCTGGGGGTTTTAAGGATTTTTATTGTTTTCAGTTCTTTTTATTTACTTACAGTTTTTAATTCTTTACATTCCTGAGTTTCAGCATGATTTGTTTAGGATGTATTTATTTTTTTAAAAAATTTATAGGTGGGGGAGGGGCAGAGGAAAAAGGAAAGAGAGAATCCCAAGGAGGCTCCATGCTCAGTGCAGACTTCAAAGAGGGGCTGGGTCTCGCAACCCTGAGATCATGACCTGAGCCAAAATCAAGAGTCTGACCATTAACTGACTGAGCCACCCAGGCACCCCAGGAGTGTATTTATTTTTATTTATACTGTTCAAAATTGCTGTATTTGAACTCAGCAATTATCTTTTGAAATAGGAGCTCTCTACCATTTCTTCTGTTCTGTTTTTGTCATACTCCTCCCATTGAACAAATGTTGGAGCCTCTTACTCTATCTTCTGTGTCTTGATTTTTATTTTGCATCTTTCTTTAATCTTCATGCACATGGGATAAAAGGCATTTATCAGTAAGCCTTTTTAACTTCACCAGGTAAATTGACTTGAAGTGATGCTTTTTAGAAAGCTAATACCAGTGTGGATAAAATGTTACTAGGTGGGCAACAAATTATAACTAAGAAGAAATAAATTTATTTATTTATTTATTTATTTTTAGTTAGACAAGTAAGAAATTTTTTTTTTAAAGATTTTGTTATCCATTTGACAGAGAGATCACAAGTAGGCAGAGAGGCAGGCAGAGAGAGGAAGGGAAGCAGGGTCTCTGCTGAGCAGGGATCCCAATGCGGGGCTCGATCCCAGGATCCTGGGATCATGACCCGAGCCGAAGGCAGAGGCTTTAAACCACTGAGCCACTCAGGCGCCCCATAAGAAAAAATTTTAAGTGGGAATTAGGATTTTCAGAGAATAAAGGTGACTTTCATAGGAGAACATTAGTATATGAAGTCCAGATGCCTTCAGGTCTTTTTTGCTGTTGTTGGAAAATACATGTGCACTTAGAGTTTATGATGCAAAGTATCGTCTGCTTTTTTGCAGCTGCAAGAAAAAGGGCCTCCTGGTTCTTTGAATTTTCCATCTGCCTGTTTAGTCTGTGGAACAGCCTTCTGAGGTGAGTTAAGATACACAGCTCTTATCTTCATGTGCAGATGATCACAGTGAGGCATGGAGGTTTTTCTTTAACACACCTAACGTTATATGGATGGTAAGAATCATTTCGAGGATTTAAACCTAGGCCATTGACTTTAGAACCCATTTTTTGGTTTTTTTTAACCTACATGTTAACAGTACCCTTCATTTCCTACATCCTCAGGATGAGCCATTCTTATTGTAGGAATACTGCATTTGGTTGTCCCGGTTCACTGTCCATTGGCCCCTGGCTGACAGACTTAGGGGTTGGAGTCTGCTCCATGCTCTGCTCACCGTGCTGTATGTAGCCTCTGCGGCCTGGAAGTAGGAGAGCTGTCGTTTAATTTCTGCAGAGATCACCTGGGCTCCCTGGCCTGCATCTCATGGCTTCTTTGTCCTTCCCCAGTTATGTCTTCTCAGGACTCTGACCTTCCCCAGAAAGAGCAGGAGAAAATGACCAAGTTTCAGGTAAGGAATTCTTTTCTGTCTCCTTAGATGTGATTTCATTTCTCACAGGTTAGGCTCATCTTTCTCCTCTTCGGAAAAAAGTTAATGGAAAACCGCAGATTTTGAGTGCGTGTTGTATGCCAGGCTATGTGTGCGCGTGTGTGTTTAGTTTTATCTTTATTGTTTCACAAGACAATTTTTGGAAAAGTAATAAAAATTTGAAATAGACCAAAAGAATTTACAGTACTACCTTGCTCATTGGCCAACTCTTTGTACTTTACCTTATGCCTTTTTTACTTGCATTTGTAACTTTATATTTGTAGTATTGGAAGTGATGGGATACATAGTTGATCCTCAAATAATGCAAGGTTTAGAGACCCTGACCTCCTTGAAAATCCACATGGAAGGTTTGGCTTCCCAGAAGCTTAGCTCTTAGCTTACTGCTGATCAGAAGCCTTACCAATAACATCAGCAGTTGATTAACACATATTTTGTATGTTCTTTGTATCGTATATTGTATCTTACAGTAAAGTAAACGAGAAAAAGAAAATATTATCAGGAAAATTGTAAGAGAGGACCCATTTTTAGTGCTGTAAAAAGATATGCATGTAAGGTAGACTCATGCGGTTCAAACCCTTCTTGTTAAAAGAGTCACCTGTACTTAGATATATTAGAGAAAGGCTTAATAATTCTTTTATTAAGGTTAGTAAGATAAGGGGTGCCTGGGTAGCTCAGTGGGTTAAGCCTCTGCCTTCAGCTCAGGTCATGATCTCGGGGTCCTTGGATTGAGCCCCGCATCGGGCTCTCTGCTCAGCAGGGAGCCTGCTTCCTCCTCTCCCTCTGCCTGCCTCTCTGCCTACTTGTGATCTCTTTCTCTCTCTCTGTGTCAAATAAATAAATAAAAATCTTAAAAAAAAAAAAACGATTAGTAAGATAAGGAAAAACCAAGTTGGAATAGGAATGAAAAAAAATGGAGTGTCAAGGCAAATTTACAACAAAAGTAATGATCGTTAATAAGTAAATATGTGCAAATGTTAACAAAAGCTTTCTAATTATTTATTTCACATAGATTGTCCTATTTGGTCAGAGTCTAGAGATTCAGGAATACTTGTACTCTCTTGCATAAAAGGTGAATTGGGAAAACCTTCTGGAAAGGAAATCTGCCACTGTGCTTTGAAAATTTTGAAAGTGTTTATTCTGTGGCTTTGCAGTTGCTACTTTTAGCTAAGGTCTCAGTAAAAGGATCTCTGCAGGGGCGCCTGGGTGGCTCAGTGGGTTAAGCCTCTGCCTTCAGCTCAGGTCATGATCCCAGGGTCCTGGGATCGAGCCCTGCATCGGGCTCTCTGCTCAGCGGGGAGCCTGCCTCCACCTCTCTCTCTGCCTGCCTCTCTGCCTACTTGTGATCTCTCTCTGTCAAATAAATAAATAAAATTTAAAAAAAAAAAAAAGGATCTCTGCAGCACTGATTAAAATTAAAAATCTGGGGCCATCTGGGTGGCTCAGTTGGTTAAGTAACTGCCTTCGGCTCAGGTCATGATCCCAGGGTCCTGGGATAGAGCCCCGAATCAGGCTCCCTGCTCTGCGGGGAGTCTGCTTCTCCCATTTCCTCTCTTTCTCCTTTTCCCCCTGCTTGTGCATACTCTTCTCTCTCTCTCTCTCTTTCTCTTGCTGTCTCTCAAATAAAATCTGAAAAAAAAATTGAAGATCTGTAACTATATGTGATTTGGATGATGGAAGATAAATCATCAGTTCTAAGGGAAGTTAAACTTTGTGGTCATAAAATGGAATGAGACATTATGATGATGGTAATTGTTCAGGTTTATTGAGCAGTTAGCTACATGCTAGGCACCATTCTACGTGCTTTACAAATACTCATCTAATGTTTTCAAACAATTTGTGGTACAGACATCATTAAAGAGAAGTGGAAATGGAGATAGTGGGAAGTTAAGGAATTTCCCCAAGGCCCTAGAATTACAACTGTGAAATTTGAGCTTAGTGCTTTCACCAGCTGTGAATGCTGCAGGTAGATGCAGCACGTACGTTGAAAACGTGGAAGAGCTGTGTGCTTGTCCCGGGAGGGCTGCCCAAGGCCTGTGCACACTGTTGACATTATGAACAGCGACAGAACCCAAGCCTTGTGGGGTGCTCGAGAGGGGACAGTGAGGGGGGACACTCTGGGACTACAATCTGCCTGGGCACCCTCCAAAGTGGCAACCTTTTTTTGGGTAATCCTCTGTCCTCCTCCGTGCTGCCCCTTTTCCAGTGGAGCTTGTGGGATTGAGGTTGTGTGCGTTTGATGTGTAGGAGGCGGTGACGTTCAAGGACGTGGCGGTGGTCTTCACCGTGGAGGAGCTGGGGCTGCTGGATTCCACCCAGAGGAAGCTGTACCGAGATGTGATGCTGGAGAATTTCAAGAACCTGGTCTCAGTGGGTGAGGACAGTCGCCCCATGACACCCCCTTGAGAGTCGGTGTCCTTAGTTGTTCAAAGCTTTGGACCTTTTGAATTAATTCCCTGACCCTGAAGACTCAGGTTTTTCTAATCCCTAGGACTACAGGCATAGGTTTTCCTCGTTTTTCTGCTCAGGTAAAATTCTGTCCAGGGGTTATTTTGCCCCGAGGTGATATTTGGCAATGTCTGGAGACAGGTTTGATTGTTACAGTTGGTTGGGGGAGGGGCTCCACTGGCCACCGATGTTGCTAAACCTCCTGTAGTGCACAGTTCAACCTCTAGGACAAAGAATTAGCCAGTCCAGAATGTCAGCGGTGCCCCAGTTGAGAAACCCTGACTCAATTAATTACAAATGGGAAACATAAATATAAATTGGCTTTTACACTGTGTCTTGCAAATACTTTTTCAAATTGTGGTTGTGACCCATTGGTGGGTCATGGCTTCATTTAGTACCCTGTGCTGGCATTTTTTTTTTTTTTTCAATAAAATAGAATAAGGATAGAAACTAGAAGAATTCCTCTCATTGCAGCAGAAACTGACCATTTGCGGTGAGTGGTGTGAGAGTGTCGGAAGTATGGTGAGAACAGACATTGGCTGAATCTAATTTTATCTCTATCTAGACATGAACTAGGTCATGGCCTAAGTTTACCTATTAGGTTCATGATCAGAAGAGTTCCAAAAATACCACTTTAAAGGTTCTGAGGGTTGTAGAACTTGGACAGAAATACATTTTAGCCGTGTGTGTATCTTAGAAGTGTGTATCTGCCCTTTCACAGGATATCTTCCCTTCAAGCCAGAGATGGTTTCTCATTTGGAAGCAGAAGAAGAGCTTTGGATGATGGAAGGGGAACCCCAAAGAAGTGTGACCAGTGAGGACCCCATGGCTCTTCCTTCAGGTACCAGCTAATCTGCGTCTCACCACATCTGTGCTTACCACACTTGTCTGAGCTCTGTCCTCTCTTCTGCACTGGGACAGCAGCCTCCACGTTGGTCTCCCTGCCTTCTCTCTTGCCCTCCTGTCATCTGTTCTCCATATGGTACCAGAGTGATTCCTTAGAAAGCAAGTGAGGTCATGCCATTCCCCTGCTGAAAAACCCTCCAAAGACTTCCCGTTTTGCTCAGAGCCCTCGCAGTGGCCTACGAGACCCTCCCCGATCTGGATTCCTCACCAGGTTCCTTTTTGATCAGCCTTGCTTTTAGCCTGGCTTAGGTCATTCCTGGCTCCTCTGGGGCATTCTCTCTGCTGCTTCCGGGCCTTGGACCAGCTTCCCCTCTGCCTGGGCAGAGAGTCTGTGGCCACTCCCTTACTAGGGTCTTTGCTCGGATTTCATCTGCATCCGCTGGGCCTTCTGTGTCTGCCCTTTCAAACCTCATCCTCTCTGTTCTCCATCCCCTCACGCTGCCTTATTTAGTATCTGAGTACTGATCACCTCCTGACCTACCAACACATTTTTGTTTACTTGCTCACCATCTGTCTCCCCTTGAAGTAGGAGTTTTGGCAGTTTCATTTGTTGTGTCTACTCAAGGCCTTGGATGGCCTTTCTGCATAGGGGGGGGATCCTCTGCACTTGTTAAATGATTAAATTATTTAAATAGTCACAGTCCTTGTAGGAGTGAGCTATGATACCAGCCTTTCCTAGACGGGAAAGAATGCCTGGTTCATGTCCCCAGCCGCCGATTTCTTTCCCACCAAGCCTTTCACTGCCTACCACCCCCCCACTTTCTCCTGCCCTGTCCCTCTTCATTTTTCACCTCACTTTCCCATCTCCTTTCCTTTCTTTTTAATTTACATATTCCTCAGTTCTACTCATTTAGAAATTAAAAACTCAATATCCCCAGGGGTGCCTGGGTGGCTCAGTGGGTTAAGTCTCTGCCTTCGGCTCAGGTCACGATCTTGGGGTCCTGGGATCGAGCCCCACATCGGGCTCTCTGCTCAGCAGGGAACCTGCTTCCTCCTCTCTCTCTGCCTGCCTCTCTGCCTACTTGTGAGCTCTCTCTGTCAAATAAATAAATAAAATTAAAAAAAAAAAAATGAACCCTCTAGACACGCCATAGGGCTGAGGGCCCGAAATGAACTCTCTCTGTCTTCCTGTCTATCTCTTTCACTTGAGCAGGATGCCTCACATTCCTGCCCTGGGCTTCTTGTGTGAATCTGAGCGGGTCTCTCATATTCACATGCTTAAGAAAAAGTAAGACTGACACCTCCTTCCCAGGCTGCTCTGAGGGGCCAAGCACAGAGTGCAAGTCACCAGCCGATACTAGGACCAAGGCTCGGGGAAGACGGAGTCCAGCTCTCCCTGTGTACAAACCTCCCGCAGTATTTGTGTGAAGCAGCACTTCCAGCCTGCTCTGCTCTGCCTGCAGCAGGGTATTCCACCTAAAACAGAGCCTACGTGGCACGTGTCAAATGTGAGGACAAAAAGGTGGCCGAGTGTATTCAGAGTTGACGTGAGGGGACAAGGTTTTATGCAGAAAGAGACTGCAGTGTGGCTTAAGACAGTAAAATCCCTAAACCATGGACATGTCTCTGAGTGGGAAGGAGCTCAAGATAGAAAGGTACATCGATTCGATGGGAATGGGATACAACCATAAAAAATGAGCATGACGTAACATGAAAGGGGAAAAAAATCAGTACTTAAAATGAGGTGTATGTTATGAATACAAATTCAGTTATGAACGCCCACGAGGATAAAAGTAGGAGAAAATGAAAACAGCTCATCTGTTAGTCGGGAAGTCATGAAGTGGGGGAACTGTTCATTTCTAGTCATTTTTTCACTCTGTAAAATAAGTAAGAATACAGCAAAACCCAAAAATACATATGAAGTAAATTCAAAAGGCACAAAGTAAGACCCTGATGGAAAATAGGTCCTCAAAGGCCTTTTGCTCTGCTCGAGTCATCCCCAGAAAAATGTGTGATGACCTGAGTAATGAGATGGAATCAGGAAAGTGAGAAAGGAAGCCCTACTCACCTTGACCATGGTCATGTGTCCTCCTACTTCTGGGCGCGTGCAGAGTCCTGCGTTGCACGGATCCCAGGAAGACAGAGCTGCACCTCGCGGGGTGCCTAGGAAGGCAGGAAAAAGGCATTAAACATAGCCCAGGATGGTGCTCATCTACAGGGATGATGGTTGTGAGTCCATACTCGAATGTTCACAGCGCCATTATTCATTAATGACCCTCGAGCGGGAAACCGCCGAAACGCAGACCTATGACCTATGCAGGAATGAACAAATTGTGGCAACTCCATACAATGGAATATTAGTGGCCAATTAAAAGGAAGGGGTGCGGATCACACTACAGCATGGATGAACCTTGTGAACACTGCTCAAAGTGAAAGACGCCAGTCACAAAAGGTCAGATACCGTAGGATTCTCTTTATATACAATGTCCAGAAGAGGGAAATCTATGGAGAAAAAAGCAGGTTAGTGGTTGCCGGGGTAACAGGGGTGAAAATGGGGGGTTAACTAAAAATGGGCATGAGGAATGGGGAAACAAAAATGGTCAAAACTGAATTATAGCAATGGCTGCACCACTCAGGAGAGTTACTAAAAATCACTGATTCAAGGGGTTCGCCTGGGTGGCTCAGTCGGTTAAGTGCCTGCCTTTGGCTCAGGTCATGATCCCAGGGTCCTGGGATCGAGTCCCACATCCGGCTCCCTGCCCCGTGGGGAGTCTGCTTCTCCCTCCCCCTCCTCCCCAGCAGCTGCTTGCTCGCTCTCTCTCTCAAATAAATAAATAAATCTTAAAAAAAAAAATCATTGATTCATGCAACTAAAATGGGTGAATTCTAGGATATGTACAATATACCCCAAGTATATTGGTAAAAATCAATGTTTGTTCATCTACATGTTATTTAAATTAGCAAAACTTTGAATGAATGAGTGAAAAAGTATGGGGGAAGGGGAAGCTTGTCCTCACAGCAGGATGTCCACTAACAAGTGTATCTTCCCATAAGAAGGCTTCATTAATTGAAGAGTAACTTTACAATGGAGAAACCTAATAGAAATCACCTTAGCTAGTCAACAAAGCTGAGTTCGCCCAAACCTAGACAAACCAACAGCCTTTGGCTCCTGTTACGTTGCAATGACAAGGATGCCTCAACGCTTCTGTGGAATCCCTGCCAACGACGCATGACAGGACCTAAACATGTATACGTCAGACAAACCCCAAATGAAGAACTTACTCCAAAATGACTTCCCTCTATACTCTTTAAAAGCATCAAGAACTGGCACTTGGGTGACTCAGTCAGTTGGGTGTCCGAGCGCTGATTCTGGCTCAGGTCATGATCTCAAGGGTCATGGGACTGAGTCCCTTGCCGGGTTCTACACTGAGTGCAGAGTCTGCTTGAGATTCTCTCCCTCTCCCTCTGCCCTTTCCCCCACTTGCACTCTCCCCCTCTCTAAGTAAAGAAAGAAAATCTACAAAATAAATAAATAAATACAAATAAAAGCATCAAGAACAGGGGCACCTGCGTCAGTCAGTACAGCAGGTGATTCTTGATCCTGGGGTCATGAGTTCAGGCCCCACACTGGGCATAGAGCTTACCCAGAAAAAAAAAGTAAAAAAAAAAAAAAAAAAAAAAGCATCAACAAAGGCGGCTATGGAATGCATTCCACATTAAGGGACATAACGATGATAAAAGTTTTGTAAAATGTTTATAAACAAATATACAGCTTAAGGCAATGCATAAAATTGGACTTTGAACTGAGATGGGTTAGGGGAGACTGGTTATAAGGCCTTTAAATGAAAAACAGAACAAAATTAACTACAGGACTGTGGATTACATAAACAGGATGCTATATAATGTTTTCCAGGATTATCTAATAGGTAACACTATTAAATACTATTAGTGATAACTTACTAGATATCTACTATTTAATAGATAACACTATTATGTAGCGTAATATCTAATATTACTGATTAACTGGTGCTAGAATTCTATAATCAGCTTCTCCTAAATCCCTCTTCCCAAGATACCTCCTGATATCCGTATGTGGGGCTTCCTTCCTTCAGAAAGCTAGAATAAGGGGCACGTGGGTGGCTCAGTGGGTTAAGCCTCTGCCTTCGGCTCAGGTCATGATCTCAGGGTCCTGGGTTCGAGCCCTGCACTGGGCTCTCTGCTCAGCGGGGAGCCTGCTTCCTCCTCTCTCTGCCTACTTGTGATCTCTGTCTGTCAAGTAAATAAAATCTTAAAAAAAGAAAAAGAAAAAGAAAGCTAGAATAAGCGGTCATTGAATTCCAAGTATATTCCTGATGTTATGTGGCTGATGGAGCCACAAAACAGGCAAAATGTAAACAATTGGGGAATTTGGGTAAAGAGTATATGAGAAATCTTTACACTACTTTTGCAACTTTTCAATGGAAAAAATTTGAATTATATAGAAACAAAGTCTTAAAATATCAGGAAACAGCCATAGGAATAACAGGAATAATAGGAAAAATAAAGAGGATTGGAAAATTATATGGAAACTCATTAGTTTATTCTTTCTTGGTAGTGTTTAAAAATTTCCATAGTTAGGGGCTCCTGGCTGGCTTAGTTGATAGAGCATGTAACTCTTCATCTTGGGGTTGCAAGTTTGAGCCCCACACTGGGTAGAGATTACTTAGAAATAAAATCTTAAGGGATGCCTGGGTGGCTCAGTCAGTTAAGTGGCAGACTCTTGATTTCAGCTCCGGTCAAGATCTCAGGGTCCTGGGATCAAGCCCTGCATAAGGCTTCACGCTCAGCAGGGCGTCTGCTTAAAATTCTCTCCTTCTTGGGGCACCTGGGGGGCTCGGTGGGTTAAAGCCTCTGCCTTCGGCTCGGGTCATGATCCCAGGGTCCTGGGATCGAGCCCCGCATCGGGCTCTCTGCTCGGTGGGGAGCCTGCTTCCTCCTCTCTCTCTCTGCCTGCCTCTCTGCCTACTTGTGATCTCTGTCTGTCAAATAAATAAATAAAATCTTTTTAAAAAAAATTCTCTCCTTCTCCCTCTGCTCCATCCCCTGCATGAGGATGCGCGCTCAGGTACACACTCTCTCTCAAATAAATAAATAATAAATCTTTTTTTAAAAATAAAGAGTGTGGGGGGATGGGGTAACCGGATGATGGGTATCAAGGAGGGCACATGTTGGGATGAACACTGGCTGTTATACGCAGCTAATGAATTGTTGAACACTACAACAAAAACTTGTGATGTACTATTTGCTGACTAACTGAACATAATAAAAAAATAAGTTAAGAAAAGAAATTATAATAAAAAGGTAATAAAGAATAAAATAAGATCTTAAAAAAGTTTTCCATCAATAAAATATGCCAGGGGAAAAACACAAAGAAATATGTGATAATTTCGTAAAATGCTTATACACAAACATACAAATACACACAAAGAACCACCAAACAGAAATACATTAAAAGCTTCACAGTTGCTATCTTTACATTGTGGATTAATGGGTCATTTAAAAAATTTTTTCCCTCATATTTCTGTACTTTCTGAATTTCCCATCATGGTTCTATAAGCATAAAACATATTATTAGTAATAAGTAAAACAAAATAGTTGACAATGTTTGAAAAAACTCAGAAAAGTCATAGCCCATTAGCCTTTTCAGATCATCCAGAATCAAGTGCTAACTACCTGGGGTCTGACTCCTGCTACTTCCTGTGGCTTAAGGAGAACATATCCAAGAGATTAGAACTCAAGTTCTGGACTCAAACTGCCTTCATCCCACCCCCAGCTCAGCTTCTTCACTAGGCGGAGATTATGGGCAAATCACTTATGCTCTGTGGGTCTCAATCTCATTTTATAGAACAGAACAGAAAAAGAAAGCAGAATTCCTTCACATAGCTATGGTGTGGCACAATGTATTTATTTGTATAAAACCATCGTTGGTGAGGTCGGCAATAAAAAAAATATGCCCCTGCCCGATTACACATCCCAAACGTTATCCGACTGATGAGAACGTTGTTATAAAAGAAAAATGCCAAATCCCACTCACGCGGAACCTTGCTGTCAGTAGCCAAGGAGTCCCTCCTCCCACCTCTGTGCAGCCCTTTGTGAGAAATCAGGCTGGGGAAAGAAAAGAATGTTATGAAATGCCATGATCATGCTGCCATTCTCAGTAAAAGTGAAAACCTCCATTCCCCTCCATGCAGTCTGGAAGCAACCCTTGCCACCAACTAGACCCCAAGACCTAACGTTTAATGCCCACCAGCTTGCATTCATTAACCTTTGTCTTGAATTTTTCCTTAAGCTCTTCTTTCTAGCTTATCTCTTACCTCAGGCAAGTGAAACTCAAAATCACGCCTCAAGTGATGACAACGGCCACAACCTGCCACAGGCCAGACCACCCAGACCTTTTGAGCCCGACTCATACTTGCGTGGAAGGACCATGGAGTGACTTCGGGGGCCGGTGGGTGGCGGGGGGATGACTCAGCCTAACTTACATAACATACAGTGTACGTGTAGGCTAGTTTCCTTAAGGTGTATCCTTGACCTTGTGCCCACCTCTACACAGGATGACAAAACTTCCCTATCTAAATATCCCTCCTAACCCTAAACAAAAGGAACCCATTCACCCTCTTCTGTGGGAGTCACAGCTTTGGAAGCCATTCCCCGTGATCTCTTTATTTGCTGCAAATAAGCTTTCTTTGTGCAATGATTTAACCTGGTACAGTTTCTGACTCATCAAGGAGCAAACTCACGTTGGTTCTGTTACACCCTCACCTTCCTAAAAGGGAGATTATAAGGGGTCTGGGGTTATGGAGCATCACCCAGGAATCACAGAAGAGTAAAGGTTCTGCAGTGGAATAGCGGACCCTGACCCAGGGAACTAACTGCTTCTCGGGAAATACTAAGAAAGGTCACCATCCACCAGGTGCCAGAAACAGTTTTGAGATTTTTATTTCTATCACTAGCTGGCACACAGGAGTGCAGGAGCACCTGGCTCTGGGATTCCCAAACAGACCAGACTCCACCTCTGGCCCCTGACAAAATCCACAAGCAGAGAAACGAGTGGTGGTGAATTTAAAAAGGAATTTATTTCAGCGAGACCAACACCAAAAAGACTGCAGACAAACAGCTCAAAGACTGTCTTCAAAGTACCGAAAATACTTCCAGGTTTATACAAGGAAAATGCGGGGCGATGGCAGGTGGGCAGTGAAGGTCAAATGATCACTGTCTCAATCGCGGGTGGGGCCCTGCTAGCTCAAGAGCAGTCATTACTGCGTGAGCGGGTAGTTCTGGTTCCCACGAGGGGATGCTTTGCCCTCAGGGTCTTCCACCCGAGCCGAGACAAGCTGGAAAGAAGCCAACTAGAAAGTTTGAGGTCAAAATGGAGGCAGCTTTCACCACCTCTTTCAATTCCCCAACACCAGGAAGCAGAAGCACCCGTGGGTGTAGGGAGGCCGACAGTGGGCGAGCTGAGACGCGCAGAAACTCTCAAACCAGGCGATAGGTGACCCCACCCCACCCCAGGACTCGCAAACCACCCTGAAAGCAGAGTCTCCCCCAAAGATGCACACCCCTGCCATCCCCCCTCCATACCTGTGAACTCTGCCCAAGCTTCTTTTCCCCTAAAACACCGGGTCGCTGCAGGTCCCCGGCAGACC